ACGATCACAGTTTTCTATACAAAATTTGTTGCAGATCGAAAAGTTTGCTTTATTAAAGATCAAATTTGATTCGATCAACTTTTTCTATAATAGATTAAAAAATTTAAAACGATCAACAACTCTCAGCGTACATTTATTGATCCTAGTTTCTATAGAAAATTAGTTAACGATCAATGTTTTGGACAGAATTTTAAACAACGATCACAGTTTCCTAAAGAAAATAACATAATGATCACAATTTCTATAAAAAAAAATGTTACCAATCATAGTTCTCAAACAAAATATTAATAACAGTCATAGTTTTTTCAAAATATTTAAATAACGATCACTGTTTTTAGTCTAGGCTATAGTCTAGTCTATAGTCCTAGTCTATAGTCTTGTCTATAGTCTAGTCTATAGTCTAGTCTATAGTCTTGTCTATAGTCTAGTCTAGTCTATAGTCCCGTCTATAGTCTAGGTCTATAGTCTAGTCAATAGCGAAGTCTATAGTGTAGTCTATAGTTTAGTTTGTAGTTTAGTCTATGGTGTAAGTCTGTAGTTTAGTCTATAGTCTAGTCTATAGTCTAGTCTATAGTCCAGTCTAGGGATGCCAATCGGGACTGGTTTTTAGAAATCCCGGGATTCGGGATTTTTAAATAAATCCCGGAATCCCGATATCGGGATCCCGGGATTTTCGGGATTTCTAAATCCCGAAAAATATAAAAAAAATTCAAAAATCTTAATAATTTACCGACAAAAATAAAATGTTTTATTTCATATTGCAATATGAATACTCTTAGTAGGTGTTTACTTTCCAATAAGCATTTTGTGAAAAGAAAAACAAATTAATTCAAAGTACATACTTAGAATAAAAATCTTTCCATCCCAGGCACTGAATAGTAGAATAAAAACCTGAAATAATACCCATGATATCCAAATTTACAATGGTTTCCAAATAATATTTAAATAGTATGTGTAATGGGGATCCATACGAGGCTACATAGAGCACCTGTACTGCACCTATATCTCCTCCACCTTATATCCCGTGTTCACTAACCAAGGGAATTATCTTCTCGCCATCTTATTGACAGGTTGACTTCCATTATAGATATCCGATAGTATCAATGCCTATTTATTGCCCTTTTTATACCCTTAGTAGGGATGGTATATTGGGTTTCTCCGGAGTAGTGCTTTGTTTTATACTGTCCTAAAATCGCTGATGAAATTTGAAATGATCGGGCTTTTGATCCGAGCCCCCATACAAAACACAGCTTTAAAAAAGAATTAGTGTCCACAATTCGCTTAAAAAGAGAACTGTCGCAATGAAAATTCAGCATAAAACATTTTATGTAACCGTAAATTCGCCCTCCAAATTTTATGAGGATCGACTCATATGATGGCGTCCTTCCCCAAGCATATTTCAGAAAAATAGTTTTTTAACAATAAAGTGCTAGGATATATCGGAGGCGAGGTATACTTTTATTATGAAAACAAAATTACATTTTTAACTCTCATAACTGGTGAATGGGGTTATATGGTCGGCCTCGCCCGCCTATAATTTCGTACTTGTTTATTTTTATATATCCGATAGTATCTATGCCTATTTAGTATAGCAATGAAATTTGATATTCGTAAATCCCTGACGAGCCAAACCTCTCTACCAATTTTATGTGGGTCGGTTCATATTTGACCCTACCCCCATATAAGGTCCCGTTAAAAAAATGACTTTAACGCTCATTACTGGCTTAAAAATACGAGTATAGCGATGAAATTCGATACACATATGTTTCATGCGAGCCCAAAATCTCTCTACCAAGTTTTTATGTGTTTCGGTTCATAATTGACCCTACCCCTACATAAGGTCCCATCCAGATAAATACTTTAACGCTCATTACTGGCTTACAAGTACGAGTGTAGAGATGAAATTTGAGATAAGTAAGTTTCTTACTCGCCAAAAGCTAAGAAACTTTATAGGAACGTAAATCTTCCTACCGGAAAGTGTATGAACCAAAATTGGTCTAAAAAAATTATGAAAAATTTTATAAAACGGTCAATGATTCACCCTACCTCTCATATAAGGTCCTATCAGTAAATTGATGAGTAATATCACCCTGATGTTTATAGAAAAGCATATTCGGCATAGCCGAATATAGCACTCTTACTTTTTTTTGATATTTCAGCTTGTAAGTTAGTAGAGTCATCTTAAGTCCAAAACTTTTTTAAATTCTCTTATTTAGTACTTTATAATGTATAAAATAGCGGAAAAATACTTAAAAATTCGGGATTTTAAAATCCCGAAATTTCCCGGGATTTCATTTTTTAAAATCCCGGTTTTCGGTACTTTCAAATCCCGAAAATCCCGGGATTTCGGGAATCGGGAATTCCCGTTTGGCATCCCTAGTCCAGTCTATAGTCTAGTCTATTAGTCTAGTTTATAGTCTAGTTTATAACCTAGTCTATAGTCCAGTCTATAGTCCAGTCTATAGTCTAGTCTTTGGTCTAGTCTGTAGTTTATTCAAGAGTGTAGTCTATAGGCTAGTCTAGAGTCTGTTCTATAGTCTAGTCTGAAGTTTAGTCATAGTCTAGTGTATTGTCTACTCTATAGTCTAGTCTTTGGTCTAGTCTGTAGTTTAGTCATAGTGTAGTCTAGAGTCTGTTCTATAGTCTAGTCTGTAGTTTAGTCTATAGTCTAATGTATTGTCTAGTCTATAGTCTAGTATATATTGTAGTATATAGTCTGGTCTATAGTCTTGTCTATAGTCTATTCTATAGTCTAGTCTATAGTCTAGTCTATAGTCTAGTCTATAGTCTAGTCTATAGTCTAGTCTATAGTCTAGTCTATAGTCTAGTCTATAGTCTAGTCTATAGTCTAGTCTATAGTCTAGTCTATAGTCTAGTCTATAGTCTAGTCTATAGTCTAGTCTATAGTCTAGTCTATAATCTAGTCTATAGTCTAGTCTATAGTCCAGTCTATAGTCCAGTCTATAGTCCAGTCTATAGTCCAGCCTATAGTCCAGTCTATAGTCCAGTCTATAGTCTATTCTTTGGTCTAATCTGTAGTTTATTCAATACTGTAGTCTAGAGTCTGTTCTATAGTCTAGTCTGAAGTTTTAGTCCATAGTCTAGTGTATTGTCTACTCTATAGTCTAGTCTATAGTCTTTGGTCTAGTCTGTAGGTTAGTCAATAGTGTAGTCTATAGTCTAGAGTCTGTTTTATAGTCTAGTCTGTAGTTTAGTCTATAGTCTAATGTATTGTCTACTGTATGGTCTAGTATATAGTGTAGTAATAGTCTGGTCTATAGTCTTGGCTATCGTCTATTCTATAGTATAGTCTATAGTCTACTCTTTTGTCTAGTCTGTAGTCTTGTCTATAGTCTAGTTTATTGTCTAGTCTATAGTCTAGTCTAGTCTATAGTCTAGTCTATAGTCCAGTCTATAGTCCAGTCTATAGTCCAGTCTATAGTCCAGTCTATAGTCCACCTATAGTCCAGTCTATAGTCTAGTCTTTGGTCTAATCTGTAGTTTATTCAATACTGTAGTCTAGAGTCTGTTCTATAGTCTAGTCTGAAGTTTAGTTCATAGTCTAGTGTATTGTCTACTCTATAGTCTAGTCTATAGTCTTTGGTCTAGTCTGTAGGTTAGTCAATAGTGTAGTCTATAGTCTAGAGTCTGTTCTATAGTTTAGTCTATAGTTTAGTCTATAGTCTAATGTATTGTCTACTCTATGGTCTAGTATATAGTGTAGTATATAGTCTGGTCTATAGTCTTGACTATAGTCTATTCTATAGTCTAGTCTATAGTCTACTCTTTTGTCTAGTCTATAGTCTTGTCTATAGTCTAGTTTATTGTCTAGTCTATAGTCTAGTTCATAGTCTTGTCTATAGCCTAGTCTATTTTCTGGTCTATAGTCTTGACTATAATCTATTCTATAGTCTTGTCCATAATATAGTCCATAATATCGTAAATAGTATATTCTATAGTCTAGTCTATATTCTAATCTATAGCCTAGTCTAGAGTCAAGTCATTAGTCCAATTTTTAATATCGTTCGTTATAAGATTAAGTGAGTACATGTTTCACGTGGTCAATATTTGAATAACTTCACCCCCAATGTAACCTTTTCATTGTGTGTAAATGTGTATTATTTGTTCTCTAAAGAAAATATGAATTTTAATAAGGACAGTAAGGGCTCACTATAACGAATAGAAAAATAATAAAAATTGGATGTAAATATTAAGTTAATCTTTTGTTTAGCTATGTCATATGTAGCTGATATTGTAAGTTATTTAAGAGTGCAGGAAAATTGTGACTATTAAATGTTAACACGAAATTGTGAATTCTAAAAGAATATTGCTTTTTTTGTGTACAGTACTGTATTATACTTACATACATTTTTTGCATATATTATAGGAATATTGTATGTATAGTGCATTTGATTCGAAGCTCTTAATAAATTTGACTAAAGAACGAATGAAGGTGTTAGTTTATTAAAAGTTTTACAACAAGACAAATTATTAAAAAAAAATATATAAATAAATCAACTAATTTTTATAAAGAAAATATATTTTTAAACTGATATCTTAATAACTTTTAAAACCATCTAAAAACGTCCTGAAAAAGTAAAGAAAAATGTCTTCGGAATTAGTTTTAAAATTGGAGTTAGAAGAACCTAGCCTAAAGGCACAACAAAGGCTTTACAGGAACTAAGAGAAACCCCGGAAAATATACGCAAAGGCTTAAAAGAATTTAAAGAATTATTGGAAGGTTCGAAATAAAGATAAAGTTTTGAAATTAAATTTAAAATTTTTAAAAAATATATTAAATATAATTTTTAGGCTTAACCGATTTAAATATACCCAAGACGGATGAAAAGTGGCTGTTAACATTTTTAAGAGCTTGTAAATTTTATCCAGAAAGTGCCAGAGATCTGGTAAGTTTTTCAAAAAAAAAAAATATGTTTAATAAATAATTTTCTAAATTAATTTTTCTCTAGGTAAGGACGTATTTTAATATACGCCAAAATATTCTGAAATTACAAATCTCTTAACACCGCTGAAAGTGAAACAAGTATTTGACGCCAATATAGTAAGCCTACTACCGCAACGTGATCAGGAAGGTAGACGTATTATAGCAACACCGCTGCTGGCGGTTAGTATTTAAAAAGCAATTGTGTAAACTATTGATAAACCAACCCCACCCCCAAACTTTTACAGATCGCTGGAATCCGAAACTTATATCCTTGGATGTCATCTATGCCGCCAGTACTTTATGCACAGAACTCATACAACTTGAACCGGAAACTCAAATAAATGGTGTTGTCTATATAGCAGATATGAAGGGTTTAGGCATAAGTCAAGCTTACAATATACACCCAGTAGAGCACTGCGTACTCTTAACTATATACAAAATAATATACCCTTAAGAGTTAAGGCAATACATTTTGTTAATGCGCCAAAAATCTTTGAACCCATATTTGGCGGTGTTAAATATTCTTTAACGAAAAATTTGCCAAACGTATACTAATACATAGTAAAGGGTTTGATTCTCTACATCGTTATATATCACCGAATATTTGCCGGAATGTTATGGCGGTACCTTAAAAATGGATTTGTTATATGGTCCCGAAACATATAAGCTGCTGTTACCATATCAGGAATATTTTGAAAATTTTGATAAATATGGTTTTAAAAAGTACTAAATTTTGACATTTTGACCGTGTCAAAAGTGTAATAAATTTCATTTTATTTTGGTAAATAGTGATCAAACTGAGTTTCTTAATTTTCATTGTTTCCGAAATTTTTAACTTCATTTTATGTCTGGGTCCTTATTATATTATAAAGCTAATAATTTACTACAATGGTCAATTACGGCATTCTGACAGGTAATCCTTCTCTGGGAACCCATATTATTACCTCTGAGGTCCATGGACGAGGATAGACTATAGACTAGACTATAGCCTAGACTAGACTAGACTATAGCCTAGACTATAGACTAGACTATAGACTAGGACTATAGACTAGACTATAGACTAGACTATAGACTAGACTATAGACTAGACTATAGACTAGACTATAGACTAGACTATAGACTAGACTATAGACTAGACTATAGACTAGACTATAGACTAGACTATAGACTAGACTATAGACTAGACTATAGACTAGACTATAGACTAGACTATAGACTAGACTATAGACTAGACTATAGACTAGACTATAGACTAGACTATAGACTAGACTATAGACTAGACTATAGACTAGACTATAGACTAGACTATAGACTAGACTATAGACTAGACTATAGACTAGACTATAGACTAGACTATAGACTAGACTATAGACTAGACTATAGACTAGACTATAGACTAGACTATAGACTAGACTATAGACTAGACTATAGACTAAACTATAGACTAGACTATAGACTAAACTATAGACTAGAATGCAGACTATAGACTAGAATGCAGACTAGACTATAGACTAGACTATTGGTATAAAACAATAACAAAATAAGATGGAAACAGCTGTTTCACTTTTTATATGTGTTTACATAAAAATACATCCCTGATCTAATGCGACTTGCTTGTTTTTTAAATCATTTTAAAAAATGAAGATAGCTATACGACTGTCAAATTTTCCATCCGTATTTTCTCTCAATGTGTCACAAAATTTTGACAGATCATATTACTTGTGTGCTCGTGTGAAGGGGGCTTAAATAATACTTATACAATTAATATAGAAATATAGTATAGATAGGTATTTACCCCCAGAAAATATACGCAAGGGTTTAAAAGAATTTAAAAAATTATGCGGAAACCTATAACCTGATGTCTTCCCATCAGGAATATTTAGAAAATATACAAAATATGGTTTTAAAAATGATCTGGGTAAACAATTTTATTAAAAACAAGAGGCGCCTTCATCAAAGTATAAAATTAATATAATGTTAAGTAACTTCTTGGGTCATTGTAATTTAAATGACCTCGTACTAAATATACAAAAGTTTTCCGATTATTTAATTTACATAAATTCTACAAATTACTATAATATTTTTTTAATAAACTTTAGTATTTTAATTACATACCTAATTAATGAATAATTTACTTTAATATTAAGAAATCATGTCATGACTATAGGTAAAATAAGAAATTTTTACTAAATCGGCGTTCACATTAAACAAATCCAATTCAAAATCTTTAAATTAATCTTAAATATCTAAAATGTAAACCCTAAATTATAATTCTCTTCAAGACGATCACTAATTTTAAACTAATATATATGTACATACCTCAGGCCGCAATTCTTTTTTAAATAAAATTTTGCTTTAAATTAAATATAATTTTAGTTTATTAACACAATTTCAACAAGTCACACTATTTTTTTAATAAATTCATATTTATTGGAAAATTTATACTAAAGAAAATATTCCATAAACATGTCCCCCGAAATAAAATGTGGTGATTTAATATTAAAACTAGACTTGGGTCAACCCAGTGCCAAAGCCCAGGAAAAAGCTTTACAGGAACTAAGAGAAACACCCGAAAATATAGAAAATGGCTTAAAACAATTGCAAATATTATTAGAAGGTCTGTAAAAAAAGTGAGCAATTGATTAAAAAAATTAACATAAAAAAATATTTAATATAAATTCCAGCCGAAACTGATTTATATATACCCCAAACGAATGTCGAGTGGTTGATGAAGTTTTTGAGAGCCTGTAAATTTTATCCGGAAAGTGCTAGAGATTTGGTAAGATATAGAAATTGAAAGTAAAGCAGTGTTAATTTTTACATTATATAACGAGAATCGTTGCAAATTTAAAATTTTTATTCAAAAAAACAGATTCCGTATTCTCATTTCTCGATAGGAATAGTTTAGATAAACAACAGCTTTCAAAATTCGTTTTAAAATTATGAATTTTGTCGACCTACCTTTAATACAGAGGAAGATGCATCGAAAAAACATATTGTATTGTGTTCAACATTGTGCTGAAAACACTATAAGTCCTAAACAGAAGATGAAGATGACTATTACTAGTTTAAAAAATTCAAGTAAACTTACTTAGGTTAGGTTAGGTTGATAGCAGGATGTATACTACATCAAATCCGAAGAAATACACTAGGCCACTATCGGGCCTGTTGTGCGCTCCTTACTTACTTACTTACTTACTTACTTACTTACTTACTTACTTACTTACTTACTTACTTACTTACTTACTTACTTACTTACTTACTTACTTACTTACTTACTTACTTACTTACTTACTTAATTACTTACTTACTTACTTACTTACTTACTTACTTACTTACTTACTACTTACTTACTTACTTACTTACTTACTTACTTACTTACTTACTACTTACTTACTTACTTACTTACTTACTTACTTACTTACTTACTTACTTACTTACTTACTACTTACTTACTTACTTACGTACTTACTTACTTAGTACTTACTTACTTACTTACTTACTTACTTACTTACTTACTTACTTACTTACTTACTTACTTACTTACTTACTTACTTACTTACTTACTTATTACTTACTTACTTACTTACTTACTTACTTACTTACTTACTTACTTACTTACTTACTTACTTACTTACTTACTTACTTACTTACTTACTTACTTACTTACTTACTTACTTACTTACTTACTTACTTACTTACTTACTTACTTACTTACTTACTTACTACTTACTTACTTACTTACTTACTTACTACTTACTTACTTACTTACTTACTTACTTACTTACTTACTTACTTACTTACTTACTTACTTACTTACTTACTTACTTACTTACTTACTTACTTACTTACTTACTTACTTACTTACTTACTTACTTACTTACTACTACTTACTACTTACTTACTTACTTACTTACTTACTTACTTACTTACTTACTTACTTACTTACTTACTTACTTACTTACTTACTTACTTACTTACTTACTTACTTACTTACTTACTTACTACTTACTTACTTACTTACTACTTACTTACTTACTTACTTCTTACTTACTTACTTACTTACTTACTTACTTACTTACTTACTTACTTACATCAGTACACTTTTCCATTGATCCATTGATCTTTTCTGTTTACTTATTTATATCTTTTCCCTTTAAGGTCAAACGTTATTACAATATACGCCGAAAATATACCGAAATTACAAAGGACTTGACACCCCCAAAATTGAAGCATGTTTTTGATGCAAATTTAGTAACCATATTACCTCAACGTGATCAAGATGGACGTCGTATAGTTGTAACAGTTTCAGCTGGCAGTAAGTGTTTTTATTAACACCACAAAAATTAAAAGAAGAAATAAAATTTCCTTCTCTTTCAGAACCCTGGAACTATAAAGTCATACCCCATGAAAATGTCTATGCTGCCAGTACTCTCTGCACCGAACTCATACAACTGGAACAGGAAACTCAAATAAATGGTGTAGTCTATATAGTAGATTTACACGATTTATCCATTAGTCAAGCTTTACAGTTCACACCTTATCGCATGAAACGTGTGCTCGACTATATACAAAATAATATTCCACTCAGAGTCAAGGGTTTGCATGTTGTCAATCAACCGAAAATTTTTGAACCCATATTTGCGACAATTAAAATATTTTTCAATAAAAAATTTAATGAACGTATAATATTACATGGTACGAATTATGCTTCGTTACATCGTTATATCTCGCCCGATTGCTTACCAGAATGTTATGGTGGTACTTTGAAGACGAAGTTAATGTA